TGGATGCATCTTTAACTTTCTTATTCTTCAATTTCAACTGAGTTTAAATTTAAAAATAAATGAGTCAAATATGAGCTCACTAGTGCTTAACATAGCTCCAATAAACCTAAGTTAACGTTGAAGTACAAAGCCCAAATTCAAATTCACTAAAATTAAACCAATCAAATCGAATCATTTATGCCTTTAATTTAAAATTTTCAAAATTATTGGATTAATATTTCAAAATCCTTTGTCATTTATGCCTTTAATTTAAAATTTTCAAATTTATTGAATTAATATTTCAAAATCTTTTGTCCTTTTTATGCAGAAGTAACCAACATGGATGTCCATTTCAAATCATGCACAAATCCATATCGCTCCATCCTAAATCATACGTGTGTTGTGTGGTAACTACAAGACCTTTTTGACAAAATATCCAAATGACAAGTTACCCGTTTTGCTAATGATTGATTGGACAAGACAGGCATTCATAAATTTCAAATTACAAATGAAAAATGAGACAAATAAAAAAGTGAAAAGTCAATATTCCTAAGTAGAGGACCGCATGCCCATGTGATAACATGTGGGCAATCCATCAAAACCAAATTCATGCTGCTGATTGCATAAACATTATAGCCTTACCTTTACTTATTATCATCTATATATATTATATATATATATATAGATGATATAAAGGTAAGGCTATAATGTTTATGCAAGCAGCAGCATAAATTTATATATATATATATATATTATCTAAATTCAAGACATGTAATAAATGGACAAGACCCTTGTTACTTCAAGCTTCCACTCAGTTCACGTTAAATCACAACCAAATGAATTAAAGATAAATGCATAATGATTTTCTTTTCAAAAAAGATAAAATTTATACACGCATATTAGGTTTGACAAAAATAAAATTGGAATTCCTACATAGTTATAAAGTCATGAGTGATTTTTTAATTTTTATAGGTGTTTTTATTTATTTTACGATATGAAATTAATCTTATTTGAAGTATTTTAACTATTATTCTTAAAAATGCATTTTTACGAGCTCGAATATAATTTTTAAATTAGATTTAGATTACACCTTACCAGATAGATTTAAATCTTGACCAAATTTGATAAGTCTACATGCATAATGACATATCAACATATATTCAAATAATGACATGTAATAAATGGACAAGACTCTTGTTACTTTAAACTTCCACTCAATTTACATTAAATCAACCAAATGAGTGAAATATAAATGTAAAATGATATTCTTTTCAAAAAGGATAAAATCTATATATACAAATAAAGTGGATGCATATTAGGTTAAGTTTCTGACAATAATAAAATTGGTATTCCTATACAGTTACAAAGTCGTGTGTGGCAAAAAGAATGACACATTAATCACTCGTTGGATAGTAAATCATGAAAAGGAAGGCGTAGAAAAATTAAGTTTAGAAAACAATAATTTAAATAAAATAATTTTTATTGTTTAATTATATAAAAGTAGTGATAGTAGGTTACAAAAAGTAATTTTTAACTCATCAAAATAAATTTATTTTTTATAGGAAGGCATATAAAAGCTGAGCCACCACCCCCCCCCAACAAAAAAAAGAAAAAAAAGAGAGAGAGAGAGAGAAGGGTTTAACTTTATCCTATATGGTTTGTGGGGGTAAAATACATCCTCGCCATATAGCTTAGCCTGGATAAGGGGTGTTTGATTCAGGACTCGGCTCCAAGTTGGCTAAGGTGTAACCAAGTTCCAAACCAAACAGGGTAAAAATAAATTACACCATTATTTTATTTTAATACTTCATAATGTGACTAAAAAATAAATTTGCAAAATCATCACTTGCTTTAGAGATTGTTGTTATAGATGCACCGGCAGAAGTCCATAAGCAATTAGGGTGTGTTTGGATAAAATGTTTTCAAAAGTAATTATACAAAAGTAGAAATTATTTTACATTTTCATACTATTTGTATGATAATATAAAAAAGTGATTTTCTTATAAAAATTGCTTGCCACTAGGAACTTTGTCATTGTCATGCCAATAGCCAAAACAGCACCCATTAATATTGCCACTGAGCGTTAATATCACCACGAACATAACGTCGCTAGCTGGTGGTTACAACTTACAAGACTAGGGTTTTTAATCAGGAAAGAAGCAAGGTTAGACTTCCAATCAAGGAAGAATAAGATTAGGGTTTTAATTAGAAAAGAAAATTAAGCTTTCATCATGAGAGTTAGTTAGAGATCCAGTATCTAGAGGAGATGATGATGACGGGGTTAGAGGCAAACACCAATTGTGATACCTCTACAATGGAGAAAGTTTTATACTCGAAGCTTAGGCTTTGTGATACCTTCACAATTGATGCCTTTGCAATGCCTAGCATTTGAAGCAAGGGCTCCGACTGTGAACTTTCTTCACTACTAGGCTTCTGATGAAATCAATGGTCAATAATGCAAGCATAGACGATGACAACACCATGGATTTGGTCTGTTTTCAACTGAAGGAAGAGGTAGTTGGTAGGGATTAGAGGCTTGTTTCTCTCAATTAGTGCTTTTCTCTTTCTTCCGCTGTAGATATAAAATTCTAGAAACTAGTTCTATCTACTTATAAAAAAATAGAAAATTAATTTTTTTTCTACTTCTAAGTTTTCAATACTGTCACACAAAAGATTTATTTTAAATAAACAGCATTGTTTAGTAAAAAGATACTTTTTTGTAAAAAAAGAAAAAAAAAACATCAAAATGGGGTCTAAAGGATTGAGCTTCTTGGGCATGTTGGATTGTTAATTAAGCTCACTTTAGCATCTTATAAGTCTAACCTGCCCACCATATCAAATGCTCCTACTGTGCTCATTGATTTTTTATATGAATCCCACTCCACATTCTTTTTCCCTAAACCTCCATAAAGCAAGCATAAACGATATCAAACTCAACCGCAGAGTTTGGATTTAATTTTTTTTAACATTTATATTACATCAAATTCAAGTTAGTGGATGATGATGTCCAGATAAATCTTATTGGTATAATATTTTTATTTAGGGAATTATATATCTAATTAAGATAGTTTCTTAATTTCTAAATCTTAAAATAGGTATACATTTTATTAATTAATAATCTTACATTAAGCAAATTATTCTATAACCTAGCTTAATAGTGGATATAATAATTTCTATCAAAGTGAAAATTCCAAAAATGCTATATCTCTTTTTCTGTTTTTCTTTTTGGCCACATAATTGAGGGTATACCTCATAACTTCAAGTAGAGAAAGTAAGAGGATTTATAGACTTTGCCATACTTTGAATACAACATATATATGTAGGCACAAATTTTCTACTTAAAAATACAAAGCAAATCAAACTCATTGAGCACAATATTTTCTAATTTAACTTGTTAAAAGAGCAAACATAATAGTAGACTGTGCAAATTAGAGGCTCTAAAATATTTTTCTAAAAAATAAAAAATTTAATCAATGTTTAACAAATACAAATAAAATAACATGTTAAAGCTAGAATATATATTAATGTGGAAGTTTCTCATTGCAATGCACCCATATAAAACGCCAATTTGTGATTTTATGATTTTTGGGTCAACCAATTTCAAACTCAAAAGACTGGAAAACATATAATTAGTCACCCTTCAAAGTTTAGAAATTGAAAATTCTTAATTTCAAATTTTTTAATTCTTTATAAAGAAATAAAATTATAACTTTCAAGATAAATATACCCTTTAATTGTATGTAATTATCTTAAATTTTTAATCCACAATGATCTCACAGACGAATAGTAATTAAATTAAGTTACATCTATGAGTGAAAAAAATCATTTAATAGTAAAGTTATTTCATATGGAAAGATTTATGTATATTGGTGTAGTGTCACATATAGCTAACATAATATAATTTGTCCAATCAATAAAAATAAATATAAAATTATAAATTACTATACAATAATAGAACTTGATTTATTTTTATATATTTTTTATATTGATATTTAAGTTAGTCAAAAATTTAAATTAAGAAAGTTAAAGAGAGTCAAGAATTACACTTATGACCTTTAGACGAATCTCACAACTATTATATTATTGTGGATAAATTTTAGACTTAGAACTTGTTTTATTCTAATTTTAATTGTCTATGATTTTTAAGTAAATTCAGTCAAAAGTTATATAAATAAATAATCAAACTCTATTTTATTTAAAATTTATTTTCTTCACTTTTATTTTATTTAAATTTATAAGTAAATGAGTTTTAATTGTTTATAATAATATAAAATTTATATTTTAGTAAAACGTGGCGCCACATTTTTGGGGAGCCTGCATGCCGACGGCCACGAGAAAGGCCAAGACTTGAGTCGGGACTTTAGGTGTACTGCAGAGATCGATCTCTTGGCTTCACATGGAAATCACGTGAGGAAAGTGGGCACAACTTTTTTCTCTTTTTTAAGTTCATTTTTTTTTCCCCTTGGATTGACTCTAGAAATGTATTTTTTTAGTTTTTATCTTTTTCAATTGAAGTTGGAAGTAAAGTAACTCTCCAACATTCCCCGCGGGGCGGTGCGAAAGTAACTGAAAATCTAGAAAAGTCAAGTTGCTAGTGGCAACTCAGCAAGATTCTTCTTTAATAAAGAAAAAAAAAACTCTCACAGACTCCTTGAACAAACGCAAATACATAAATAAAAACAAAACAAATACGAGTACGAATTTATTAGAGAAAAAATATGAAAATATTCACAATAATAACTTATTTTAATATGAATTTTAATTGATTAATTTATAAAAAATAAATTAGATTCGACAAATATTCTAACTTAACACGTATTTTAATAAAAACCCAATAAAGAAAACATAAATCACTGGCCATTGTACCTAGTTCCTCCCCATCGGATGGTACTTGTACCCTAAATCACATCCAAACGGCATCCTTGTACCCTTATATTTTAACCATGGAGGTCCCACTGCACCTAGATTCTATACCCAAAAGCCAGACAAAGCCTATATCTCCGATTATCATATAATCACGTATGTTAATGTACATCATCCCCAAGGGCCCCACCCGAGCAACCATCCCCACTTACAAGAGTAATTCTCCTTTGTTTTATCTGCCTCTCCGCGCATATAAATACTCTCTCTTTCTGCACCACCGTCATCCGCAGCACAAACATATAAGTCGTGATTTCAGAGAGAAAAAGTCTTGTATATCATGTCTGGGGTGTGGGAGTTCAAGAACGGGGTGATGAAGCAGAAGAACCCGGGAAGGAGCAAAACGAGGGACGGCAGGGGGAAAGCAGCAGCCAGCTGAGGAGGAAAGAGCTGGTTCACTTGCCGACCGGAGAGGTGGTGTCCTCTTACACCCTCCTCGAGCAGATTCTCAAGTCGTTGGGTTGGGAGAGGTACTATGAAGGCGACCCCGGCTTCTACCAGTTCCACAAAAGCTCTTCCATTGACCTCATCTCTCTCCCCTGGGATTTCTCCAAGTTCAATTCCACTCACATGTACGACATCGTTGTCAAGAACCCCAACATCTTCCACGTCCGCGACGCTTGAAACTATAAATTTTATCTTTCTGCATGCACACATTGTTTACATACGTATATGTCTGTTTGTGTGTAGTATCCATATCTCCCTCCCTCTCTCTTTCCTCTCTCTCTCATCTTCCTCTTCTCTTCTTCTTCTTCTTCTTCTTCTGAGTTCAGTGCATGCATGGGGTGATGTTCATTTTTAGGTTATTCTACTAGTACTACGTACTTGCACTTGTGTACAGGAAATAATGGTGTAACTTGTTGAAGTGCTTGAGTGGGTGTGCGACTGTGAGTGTGCTTTTTAGTCTATGTTGTAAGCCTTTCTACATTATGGTTTTTGTTGCTTATATCAACAATAATTAATTCCTCCAAACTTCTTCTCAGTTAATTCTCTTTCCTTTCTCTTACATACATACATACATACATATATATATATATATATATATGCACACACATGATGAATTTAATTAACATTATTAAAATTAAGTCTTTGAAATTCATGATTTAAGACTTTTCCTAAAAGCTTTAAATAGGAGAGTTTGGCTTTGAGTTTTTTTTTTTTTTTAACCCAAAAAAGCTATTAGAGTTTAAAATTTCTAAATTTTAAAAACGTTTGTACCAGATCCCGTACCAAATTCTTCACTTTTTATTCCGTAAATAAAAAGGGGATGACACAAAAAGAGGCGTCTCTAAGTAGAGAATTATTTAAAAGTGGTAGTGGTAACCATTCAGTATCATTAACTATTAAAAAGGAAAATTCTTTTTTTATAACATTTTTTGCACAAAATTTGCTTATAAATAATGTAGCAAAAATATAATTCTTTAATGTAACTCAATGGATGTAGAATTTTTCATATTTTCTTATGGTAGGGTGATGATATTTTTTTTGAAAATTTCGTACAATCAAAGGGTTATTTTTGGTTTTTTACTAGGAATTGTCGAAAATGCATAAAAAAATGAAAATTTTGAGTTAGAGCATAATACAAAATAGACTTTTTAGAAATTAAATTTTTTTAATATACTTAAATCTAAAACTATAAATTCATATTTCCTTGAACTTGAAGCAAAGCTCATGAATTAGAAACTCTGATTAATGCAATTTTAATTTGTAAAATTACAGGGTAAATTTGGGTTATTGTCCAGTTTTTTTTCCTGGCAAACTACATTTATTTAAAAAATAAAATAAAAAAATATATATTGGTATTTACGTTTTTCTGGAATTTTCTTGCACAAGAGAATCAGATAGGCAAACCCTCCCCCCCCCCCCTTGCCCAACAAAAAAAAAAAAAAAAAAAGGGAGAAGAAAAAATTGAAAGCCGGCACAGCAAATGATTGGCGATTTCCTTTTATTTATTTACTTTTGTTTATCCTAAATTGGCCTTTTCAGAATCAATACCTAAAAAGGTGTCTGATGTCGTAACGCTGTGCTCATCCTCGTCATCCTGAATGACAACTGAAAGCAAACGTAACGAGGAAGGCCTGTTAAAATAAAAAAATTTTCAAAAAATAGTAACGAGGAAGGTGTGTTCCAATGCTGCTCAAGTCATCATGGAGCAACGATCCCATGCACGCTAGTCCATGATAGTTAACCTGCACACTCTCTGACCTCGCCATATTAGTGAGCCTTTTTAGAGCCTTGTTCAAGAATTTGGCACTAAAAGCTAAGTATTTCCCTTTGACCAAATAAGGAAGTTTCTGCAAGTTAATTTAATAAGAGTCCGTACCCTATGGAGTATTTTAGTTTAGCCTTTTTTCCTCTCTTTTTGGTCCTTGACCCTTTATGTAATTACAAAAAAATATATATATCACGCCTTTTTATTTTGAGGTAATATTTGGAAATAATTTTACTTAATTAAAATATGACATTTAAAGTAAGAGTAGATAAAAGTGAATTGTAATTAAGAGTTAAGTGTGTTTACAAAATATATTAAAATTTTTTAAAATAATGAAATAAGTATTTAAAATATAACTTATGTTATTTAGTAGCGGAAAAATTATTACCTTAAAAAGATGAAAATACCCTTCATTTTATCAGCAGGCATTGTGTATTTTGCATGTATACAAATAAAGAGAGAGAGGATGGAAAGGGTTGACTTCATTGATTTTCGAAAATGAAAATCTATGAGCTCAAAGACAACTATTGCAAGTTCAAGCTTTGGGACACTAGCGTCATGGCAAACACCCTCCAACGGGTCATGATTGTGGAGTGTCTAGACTCGCCATTAATCTAGGATCATGGTCAACTCTTTCACACTTAACAATAACTTTCTTCAAATACCCTTATTCCAATAATTACATATAATAAAAGTTTCATGAATTCTTCTTCCTTAACTTTTTAGTCCAAAAGGGACCTTGCTCAATAAAAAAAAAAGGTAAATTTCAATCACCTAATGAATGTTGCACCAATTTACAAAGTCAAGTGGATATGTATGCTTTTTCTTTGGCACGATATACTTTGTTCTATCTCCACTGTCGAGATTGGGATGGAAAGGATGGACTATTCAATACTTATCATCTTATGCTTGTGTCACACATTTGTTTAATGTGTCACACTTGAAGGTCTTCGATTATCATAAAAATTAGAATTTGACATGGGATGAAAGAGTTTTAAAAATATTAAAAAAATAAATTTCAAAATAAGCGTATATCTTTTATTTCTTTCACTTTACTTGATGTCACTGTAATTTTTGCAAAAATAATTATAAATTTCTTTTTTCTTAATCAATGTCATCATAATTTCTTCAAATAAAAAAGTAGTATATCATAGATACTTTGTTATTAAATCTCTATGTTATGTCTATTTTATAATAAAAATCAATTATATTTATATATATATATATATTATTAAGCAGCACAATCATATAAGAAATTGAGTTGTTTATGTACTTTCTATTTGTTGATATTGGACAGTCAATTTGTTAAATGGAAATAAAATTAAATAAATACCAATTACATATATGAAAATGTAAAAATAGTACTTATGTAATGGGAGAATTGGAGCAGCTCCGTGGATCAATGGTGGATCGGCGCCCACCTTATCCTTGCACCCGCTATAGTTCCGGGAAAGACCAGAGAAAGAGGGCCATTTCATTTCCAACCGCTGGCATGTACTTACGCTGACGTGGGCCCAACATAGGGGTATGAGGTGCCCATATAGGGGTCTACGAGAGAAGGGCAACACGTGTGGAGCAGGAACTTCACGTGAAGTGGACTGCGTCAGCCACCTGGGACTTGTCACGTGAATCAAACGGGCTGTGTTGTTCCAACTCCCACGCCACTGCTCAGCAGATAACCTACCGCCCGTGCGCACGTGGCACACACGTGTTCCCTATCATGTGAGCGATCATGAGACCACAACAACTAAACACCACCTAGGACCAATGGCTAGCCAAGTCATGCTCCCACGGGAACAAATTGGCACGATTTGGTCCTCTCACGGTCGGCCTTCGCTCTTGCAATTAATTTGAACCGACGCTTTTGGTAATTATTTTTCATATGTTTTAATTGAATTTTTCCCACGAATTTATGTCATTTTTATTGAAAATTTAGTTGGGCTAAACATAATATTTTAAAACATTTTGTATTATATTTTAAAATATTTATCTAAATTAAGAAAAAAAAAACAAAATTTTCACACTCTCACATAGTTATCTGGTGGGGCTCACACCTTATCCTTATTTTTAACAATAGGTTTTTCCTTGTTGAGATTTATTGCCCACTTGCCAAGCTAAAGTCACAAACAAGCTTGTGGACAACTATTGCATTAAATGATAACTTGGACAGTATGGTAGATAAAAACAAAACACATAAAAGGCGAATTGAAAATTTTTCCTCTACGTGTTTATCTAAGAAAATGCCTATCTAAATAATGGCTATATCCTAGCCATTGAATTTATTTTCACAGAAATCCAACCATTAGAAACTAAAAATGAAAATTGATCAAAAAATAAGGCTTGTTGTAGAGCAACTATGGACACCGTCGAGCAGAGGTACTGGATTACATCTCAAGAAAAGATTGAGGCAATTGGGTTCTTCCTTGTTTTGCCACCTTCTATGGTTGGGCTAGTACCAAGAGTTTTATTTACAAACAAAATGATTAATGGGAGATTTGATGCATCATTTTCATGTTCTAAGATAACATCTATAAATGGAAATGGCATGCTGTGACATAACATCCTAGATGCCATGGATAAAGCTTGTTTTGTGTTGAAAAAGTGGTAGGCAAGTGAAAATAACACTTCTTCATATTTCCTTTCTCAAGGAGAGAGAGAGAGAGAGAGAGAGAGAGAGAGGGACCTATTTTTAGGGTTAACTTTTAAGTGGCGTATGATACAATGAAATTTTCTTAATGGAATGAAAATGGGAATAGGAATTCTAAAGATTTATATTTAATAAACACTTTAAAGTGGGAATTCTAATTTTCTAAGGAATCAAAATTCTATCAAACGAAATAATCTGGATTTCATTTCATCAATTGCTTGCATAATTACTATATTATCCTATATTTTTTTGAATAATGACAAAATTATAAGTGTTTATCATATTATATATTAATATTATAGTATATATATTATAAGAAATTATAATATATATTATATAATATAATAAATTATATATTTACATACATAATATAATATATATATATCTATATATGTTGTGTAAAACAATACAATACAATATAATATAATTTAGTATTTTAATATTAGAATATAATTTGTTTGATTTTTAATATGTTCTAATATATTAGAAGTTAATTTTGTTCTAATTTTAAAATATTTCTAATAAAAGATGTTTTTACTTTTAAACAATTTTTTGATTTACTTTCCTACTTCTATTCTAACATACCAAATATAATAATAAAATAAGAATTTTTATTCCATCAATATGCACCAAACATACTCATAAAAATCTTTATTCCTATTCCCATTCCTACTCCCACTCCTACTCACATTTACATTTTATTAAAAGTTATTCCATTATACTATACACCACTTTAAAGTTGAAAGGATTTGATGACCATAATAG